AAATAAGTACAAAAAATAAGAGTTTAACAAATTAATTTTTAAATACAATTCAGAATCACTATTTTTGTAGATGATACCCTAATAGAAAAATGAGTAAGTAACCTACGTGAGCAATTTATAGACAAATAAACATATATGAGAAAAAATATTTAGCCTTGTTAAACAGAATTGAGAAAAAATTTTACATAGTAAGTGTAAGGTGGCTCGGGAGGTGGCATAAGAAACAAAGAGAATCAAGCCGGTCAGGGAGGAGAAAGTTTAATCTGCATCCCCGGGGAAACCCACGAGCCCCAAAGGCAGGGCCAGTGAATTCTCGCCAACAGGGAGGGGGGGCACTTCTTTTACACAGGTGTTTAGTGAGGGGGTGGACATGATTTGAGGAAGTTCCCGCCATGGGGGTCATCACAGTGTCCAAGAAGGAGTCAGTATCTGTGTGGGGGTTGTTGTGAGTTCCAGGGAGGAGTCAGTATCTGTGTGGCCATCTGTCTGGCATGCTGACCTGTTTGGAATTCCAGGGAGGGTCCATTATCTCATCACACATCTGCATGCGTTGAGCAAGAAGGGTCAAAAGGGCTTAAGAAGGCAGGGCTCCTTGGTGTAGCCGGATTTTGGTCAGGTCCATGGGCAGGAGGTCTGGCCAGGAGCTGCAAATTTCTAGAGAGAGTTCAGTTAGATGGTCCAATAGGTTGGGATTGGAATGGCTATGATGAGGCAGTGACAGACAAAGAGTAGATGGAAAGTTGTGTTGATGAGGGTGGGCAAAGGAGTAGGTCCAGGTTCATAGGGCGAGAGAGCATGTCCTTTAGTGAGGGAGGGATAGGTCGGGATTAATATAAATTTTGATAAAGACAATTATAGTAGAATTGATGATTCCTTCGATATCCCAAGTCTATTTCACCTGAAAAGACCAAAAACCGGGGGTGGACATGATTTGAGGAAGTTCCCGCCATGGGGGTCATCACAGTGTCCAGGAAGGAGTCAGTATCTGTGTGGGGGTCGTTGTGAGTTCCAGGGAGGAGTCGGTATCTGTGTGGCCATCTGTCTGGCATGCTGACCTGTTTGGAATTCCAGGGAGGGTCCATTATCTCATCACACATCTGCATGCATCCGATCCTGGGCTTCCTCTGACCTAACATCCTGGCCTTTTAGTGACAGGGGGCGCGAGTTCATTTTGACTACTTCCAGTTGACCAGGGACAACGAGGGGGGTGGTGGTTAAAGGCCAGGGTCAGGCAGAGGCAGGTCAGAGGGCAGCCGAGTGTAGGGATGAAGCATAGGGATGGAGCAGGAGCTGATTCACAGTCACCTGTGACATCTCCGGGATCCGGGAGCAGATGAACTTGAGGAGGCAGGGGGCTAGGAGAAAAAAGACACAGAGGAGAATCAGGGGCCCTATCATGGGTAGGACCCAGGTAGCTAAGGGGCTTTGGAACCAGCCAAAAGGAGAGTTGTCCTGGGAGTGTCTTGCATGTGGTTCTTCACTCAGCTTAGTCAGGGTCTGCACGTTTTGCTCCACTACTCCAGACTCGTTGACGTAGTAGCAGCATTCCTCCTGAAGGAATATGCAGGTTCCTCCTTTTTCTGCATCCAGAAGGTCTGAGGTGCGCTGGTTCTGTAGGGCTACTTGGGCTACTGATGTCACTTGCCGCTGTAGGGAGGCTAAAAGAGGCGGTAGTAAACTCCAGGGCTAACTGGAGCTTGTCATTAAAGTCCTGAGCAGTGATCAGACGGTTCCCAAGCCCCACCACTCCCCCGCCCCTGGTGAGGCCTATCGAGGTAGCGATACTCACCCCTAACATGACAGGGAGGAAGATGGCCCGGCGGGCCCAGGGCGGGATGAGGGGAGCAGCCAGGCAAGCTCCGACTCTTCATACAAGGTTAGTTGGGGAACAACTGTGATCATAATCCCTACCTGGGGAAACAACCTTTCTCGGAGAGGTGACCTTGGTTAAAACACATAGCGCTAAGGGGAGCAAACATATTAAGAACAGTATGCTATATACGCCAGGTCCCTTGAAACATATGCTGTGCAGATGTTTCTTTCCTGCAGCGACTGTGTCAAGCAGCAAGGATGGACCGGCTTCCGGCACGTGGGGGCAGGGTGGGCTCTGGAGTTTCGGGAGGCATCACAGACCTTGAACCTCCACACATAAGCGGATGGGGGTGGGTGTAGATTGCTCAGGACCGGGAGGAGGAAGTGGGGGAGGGTGACTAAGGCGTACCTTAGTGGGGCCCAACACCTCACATGTATAGAAGTCATGCTGCTCTGGGGTCCTCTTGAGTCTGGAGAGGTGGTGCCACGATGGGTCGCCAAGCAGCTTGGCCGCGGTGGGGGTTGTGAGGCTTTTGGATGTAGATTCTTAAGGAGGATCGAGTCACCAGGGTGAAGGGCTGGTCCTCGGGAGTCCTGGTCAGTCGGTTCTGGCTTGGGCAGAAGGCATCACAGACCTTGAACCTCCACACATAAGCGAGTGGGGGGGTGTGTAGATTGCTCAGGACCGGGAGGAGGAA